TGTTTTTGTTGGTTGTGGGCCTGAACTCTGGGCCTGGTCACTGTCCCTCAGCTCTCCAGCTCAAGGCTAGCATTCTTACCATTTGAGCCACAGCACCACTTCCAGCTTTTTCTGTTTATGTGGTACTGAGGAATCGAGCCCAGGGCCTCATGCATGCAAGGCAAGCACTCTACCACTGAGCCACCTTCTCAGCTCCGGAAATTAGCTAATGAAATACTATGTAAACATATAGTAAATAAAGGGGCATTGGTACAAAAAACATAAACCCTTGTTCTCAGCACTCACGTTTTAGGGGCATGAGTCCTCTTCATTTGTGCTAGCATAATAAACCTGCTTCCTATAACAAAGCCTGGTGACTCATCTCCCTGCTTAAGAGCCTACCACACATCGACATTTTCTTATTATCCATTTCCTCTAATGGAAAGCAAAGTCTTCTCACCATAGAAACAATGAGTTCAGAGTCAAGTACTGGTGGTACATTCCTGTAATCCTAGGTACTCAGGAGGTTGAGATGTGAGAATCACAATTTGAAGCCAGCCCGAGCAAGAAAGTCCATGAGACTCTTATCTCCAGTTAACTACCAAAATAATCTGAAAGTGGAGCTGTGGGTCAATTGGTAGAGTGCTAGCTTTGGGCAAAAAATGAGAAGTTTGCATCGATGTTCATCAAAGAAATGGGTCTATAGTTCTCTTTCTTTGATGAGTCCCTGCCTGGTTTTGGGATGAGGGTTATGATGGCTTCATAGAAAATGTTTGGTAGTGAAGTTTCACTTTGAATTTCATTGAAGAGTCTGAGGAGTGTTGGTGTGAGTTCTGCTTTAAAGGCCTTGTAGATTCAGCTGTAAATCCATCTGATCCTGGGCTTTTCTCGGTTAGGAGGGCACTTACTACTGTTTCTATTTTGATGCTTGATATCGGTCTATTAATTTGGTTTAAATCATCTTGGTTTAGTTTGGGCATGTCATGATTAACTGGAGATAAGAGTTTCATGAACTTTGCTGTTCAGGCTGACTTCAAAACAAGATCCTTGGATTTCAACTTCTTAAGTGACTAGGATTACAGGTGTGAGCCATCAGCATTTGTGACCCCAAAAGATTTTGGAGGAAATTGTGATGAGCCTTGTGCATCCTTTAACTACTTTTATTAATGATTAATATCTTACCCCAAATGATTTATCCTTCCCTCCCTCTCTTTGTTGTTTTTTGTCTGTATATTTGTGTGTGTGCATGCATGTGTGTGCACACATGTGCACACTCACATGGACCTGGGGCATAAAGACTGGGCCTTGTGCTCTCATTTGGATTTTTTAACTCATGGCTGTCCCTCTACTATTTGAACCATACTTCTACTTCAGTTCTTTTGCTGTCTAATTGAAGATATGAGTCTCTTGAATCTGTTTTCCCTGTCTGCAATCAAAACTAAGATGATCACGTCTGAGCCTCCTGAATAGCTAGAATTAAAAGTGGGAGCTACTGGTGTTGAACTTTTTGTGTATTATTTTTTATTAGTATGCATTAATAATACAAGGGGGTTTAGCATGATAATTGCATAAAAGTAATTTCAACACCTTTGGTTTCCCTTCACCCCACCCAGTACCATTTCCTTCCCCTTCTTTACTCCCACTTATGCCTGCAAGAAGTCTACTCATGTCCTATTAGTAGTAGCAGTAGCAGTAAAATTTCAGGTGTAATACCACATATGTTTGTCCTTTTGTGTAGATATATGTGTGTGTATGCATATGCACACTCATTCATGCACGCATGCATGCATGCATATGCCAGTACTGGAACTTGAACTTGGCCTAGGAACTGTCCTTAGCTTTTTCACTCAAGTTTGGTACTCTACTAATTGAGCCACAGCTCCACTTCCAGCTTTTTGGAGATAACAGTATTATGCATTTTCCTGCCTGGGCTAACTTCTAACTGCAATACTGAGATTTCAGGCTCTTGAGTAGCATCAGCCACCAGCTCCTGGCTTACTTGTGTTTCCAAACTGTGATTTATACATCTGAAGCCAAGTCATTACATAGAAGTTTTCATTTTGGCTGAAATAGTCTCAGCATACTAATGAGCAGTTTAGTGATCACATGAGATTATTTTTAACCATTACCCTGGGGTGATAGCTCAGTGTCCAAACATTCACTCATAAACTTGATTCTCAGCATTTCTCAGATTGAGTTAAACAAATTAGATTCTCTTATAGCATCATCAGTTATATGATTCTGGGCTGCTTCCACTATGGAAGCTTCTCTTCCCTATGGAAAAGGAGTTTTGCAGTTTATGGGATGGGTAGGTTCCCATTTATTCAACACATTTCCTGGGTTTTGCCATAAAGGCTATTAAGCATTCAAGGCCAGGGAAACCCCAAAATGCACTTGACTTGGGGGAGCAGAGGCAGCAGTAAGTTATATACTGACTGATGGAGAATCTAAGGTCAAATCATTTGTTTATTGGTCTCTGTGCTTACAGTCTCCATAGTTACAGACCTGATGCTCAGTTCTCCTGCCTGTGGAGAAGAAGAGGCTATGGGGATAGTGGAATTCAGAAGGTCTGGGGGCAGGTCTCTGGCTCACATCATCTTCTACACATGCACCCAGGAGGCAGGCCCTGGAGAGTAATGACTAAGCCCCACAGAAGACTGATCCTTTGATTCTACCTGAATTAAAAAAAACAGGAGTTATTCTTGGCCAGGAAGGGTGTGACCTCTGACCACTAATTGCCCTTAACTACTGCCACAGTGGCCTGATACTGAAACTTTTCTGTGGAACCATATCTGGCCCTCTCCCTCATCAAGATCACCTTTTAGTTATTTACTAAGGTGCCTATATCTCCCTGAGACATGAGAGATTCTTGCTTTTAGGTTCACAAAGTATCTCAATCCATAGGCCAAGTCTCAAGATGGTTCCTGTCTCCCTCTTAGATAAAGGGAGTGACAGAATGTCTTTCTTCCCTGATGCTAAGTCCTTACTTCTGGTTGTGGTATGCATTGTTATACATCAATAGTACCATGCCAGTGTAGCTTGAATACCCTCAGACCCTGTGTTCAAAGGAAGGATGAAGGACTTAGGAAGTTAGTCATCAAGGGTTGTACATGTCTTGGTAGGCCACTTAAGCGTGCTTGTCCTCTGTTGACATTCACTCTGTATCGCCAAGGGAAGGGCCTGATCCTGTGACTTAGTTACAGCTCATGAACCAAAGCTTTCTCCCTCAGGGTGGACACATTTTATTCATGAGCACACACAGCCAGACTTCACAGGTGAACACATCTGGAATGTTCTGTCTTCCTTTATTTCCTGTATACAAACACCCAGTCTTGTTGGAAAGGAAGCTAGCACAATTCCCACTTGACTCATCTCCATCATCTCCATTGATTCACCACCAGCAGACATGAATTTGTCCTGGCTTTCAAGCCAACAAGGCCAGAAGCCAGAGATGAGGAAGCCATCTCAACTGTCTGGTGGTGAAGGTGACACTAGAACATGGATCTCAGAAAAAAATATCCTGTGACCTTTAGAGGCAGTCTAAATTGTGCCATAGGAATGTAAAACAGTATACAGCTGGGACCATCCATGCACATAGGATGTATCATTAGAAAGTGACACTTTTCAACTTATGGCCATGGAGTGGACTGGCTGCAAAGGGCTGTTTGATTGTGTAAGACCTGGAGAATGTGGCAATATTGTTCCCTGGCCATCTATTCTGGCTGGTGAGGGGCAATTTTACCCAGGTTGATCCAGTGATTCTGGGAAAGACTCATGACTATCTCCAGCCCTCTGTTCCTGGTATCCCCATTTTCTACCTCCTATACTCCCCATATATTCCCACTGATCTGTCACCTAATGGGATATGATCAGGTTCTATATTAATATGGAAAATGAGATTATCAAGTATGGGAAACTGAGTTTCCAAAGTGAGGGCTCAGCAGAAACTGAGAACAATGCACAATTTCTAGCTAAATTTAGTATCTTTCTGTGGTACCATCAGAGCTAGATAATGATTCCAGAAGGAGAACTTGTGCTAGTTGTGGGAAATGAAGCATACCCGTACCTTCTATTACCTGCTGAAATGATTCTATGGGAGAGATCACCAATGGAGGACTTTGGGAGAGATCAAGGTTGCTCAAGGCAGAAAAGAAGTGTGAGAAGGGAGAAGAAAGGCATCAAAGGAAGAATCCAAGTGACAGGGGCTAACACCTATAATTCTAGCTACTCAGGAGGCTGAGATATGGAGATGCCAGTTTGAAGCCAGAAAGAGCAAGAAAGTCCATGAGACTCTTATCTATAATTAACCACCAAAATGTGGGAAGTGGACATATGGCTCAAGTGGTAAAGTGTCAGCTTCAAGTGAAAAAGCTAGGGGTAGTACCTAGGCTCTGAATTCAAGCCCCAATACTGGCACAGGAGAAAAAAACAGGAGGAAGGGCAGAGGTTACTGGAGCTCTGGAAGTTGCTCATCAGTTCCTGGAAAAAAGGGTGTTGCAGAGGGCAACAAGTTAGTGTTGCCAGGCCAAATCCATCCAGAACCCACTGTGAATACCACAGTAAGCCTGAGTTCAGGGGTCCTGCTCAGAAATGGACCCAGACACCCCTCAGGAAGAAGGCCTGCCCTACAATGCCAGTGGCACTGTCCTTTCACTGCTGTGAGATGTGGTGCCCATAGCCCTCCACCCTTCTCCTGTTCCCATGACTTCCACCCCAAGATAGAGACACAGAGAGAGAGAGAGAGCACAGATCATAAGATGCACTTTAATTTGAAACTGGGGTGGGTTGGGGGAAACAAAGTTGTTGAGAAGAATTGGCTGGAGAAAACTGTAAAGAAGTAGGTAGGCCTCAACTCCTGGGCTCCACAGGTACTGATTGCTTGTCTTACATGAAGATGCCAGGTTCAGCCTGTCAAGCAGAGTAGAGTCAGAGCAAAACAGAGGTCTTCTTGAGTCATCAAAATTGCCAAATGGATAAAAATAAAAAACTGTGGCATGGAGTATGGTGACTAGAAAACTTACATTGAAGAAACTGGAACTTCTCAATGAAGGTCTGAATAGCCACTGAAATAAAGAAGTATAATTGAGTAGTGTAGGGTAGATCTAGGGTTGCAATTTCATGTACTAGTTCCCAAGTGTTTCCCCAGGGGACCAATACCATGACAATAGACGCCCCAGTTGCTTTTATCAAACAGCTCTGGGACTGCCTACCAAGCCAGCACCAGAACTCAATATGGAAATATCTTTTACACCAAACAACCTGAACCAGTGGTTCTCAAGTTTGGAACATGATAGAATCATCCAAATATGATTTTTAAAAAAATCAAACATATGGCAACAAATACCAAACATTTCACAACAACCAGTACTTACATGGGAAAGTAAAGGAGATGTTACTAAAGAACCTGAGATAAGTTATCTGGCATTGGTTGACAGATTCTAAGCCCAGTTTGGACAATGCATTGCTCTTTGCACATGCCTCAGCAGTCAGTACATAGAATACTAAGACAGGCCTGCATGGTTCTCCTCTCAGGAGAGTGTTGCTAGCTGTGCCCCAGGTACCTGCTCCCAGAAACCCAGATTTTTCTAGTCCCACCCTTGCCTCTTCCCCTGGGCCCATCATACCTAATTGTTCCTTGAGCTTCACTATATCACTATACATCATCCGGCACTAGCTCAGCAGACAAGAGAAATAGAAAAAGAGGGTTAATGTATTGGTCTCCTCTCATCCACTGAACTGTTCCCAGGACTTATACCTCCCAATATCCTAAAGTCCTGTCCAAGACTCACAGGAAGGGTGCTTTGCTTTTTTCCATGAGGTGTATGTATGTCAGTTGTGCATGTATATCAGTTAAACTTGGACACAGAGACTACCATCTAGCTACGGCCAGTATTCCAAGGAGCTAGAGAAGACATTACCCGGGGACAACCATGTTGTCCAGATGTCTGTTGTGACTTCTCCAAAAGTGGCTCCTGGTAATCTGAAATAGAACACAAAATACCAGCTTCCTAGTTTCCCTGTGATGTAGTTCTGGCAGATTAAGTGAGGCAGCATTCCCCTCTGCTAGCAAAAACTTGCACCTACTGTGCCCAGCAATCCTTCCTCTCTCTGGGATTACCTTTATTTGTACTCAAATGCCATCCTAGCTTAGACCCCCTAAGACTGTGGCCCTGGGTAGGATGCTAAAAAAGACTTGTCTTGAAAGTTCATTTCTGGGTTGGAGTTTGAGCACTGTTACTAATCACCCTTCTGCACAATCCCAATCTGCAGTACAATGTGGTTGCCTGACACAAGGCCTGCCCACACCCTGTGTCCTATGGGGGCACTGCATATGTATACCCAGGATCTTAGACAAAAGCCCAAGTCCTCTTTCTTCTCCAGAAGTGATAGAAATGCATGTTCCCTTCCTATAAATCCCATCAGTTATTTCTGCTCTCAGACTCCCAAGACTCACCTGAAGTTGCATGGTCTTTGGGTGTGATATCTCCCTGCTTCATTTGAACAGGTGAGTTTCTGGTATAGTAGTCACTCTTGAATTGTTGGTAAAATGACCTATATTTTGGAGGCTAACAGAAAAATTGTTTCCTGAGTACATATATTTACAGTTTGAGATAAAAAGAGAAAACATTGGGGAACTGGGATGCTCATTTCTTTCCCCTTTTAAAAAACATTATTCCTTTCATTCACCTTTTTAGCTAATTAAAAATTAATATTAACTAGGAAGTAAGATTATTCTAATATTAATTAGAAATTAATGTTTATTGCAATACTTCTGTACATGCATATAAAATACATCAATCATGTTCAATTCATTGTTATCCTACTTATCCCTCCTCCTAGCACAACCCTTTCAAAAACTCTTTTGCAATTTTAAATGGTTATCAGTGTGACCTATTCATTCTGACTACCAAGTACTTTCATCACATTCTCCCCATTCCCCTGCCCTCCTTTCCTCCTTTCCCACCTTCCACCAGTTCCCTCAAATGGCCTCACATTTGTGGTCATGTCCATTTACTTGCTTTATAGCTACCTTCTGCATATCTGAGGTATCATGCAGTATTTGTCTGAGTCTAGCTTAGTCACTTAATATGACGGTTTACATGCAGTTCCATCCATTGTGAGCTCATTTAATCAGCACTTTCTGCCTCTGGCAGCTTCAGGCCAGGAGGCACAGCTGACCAAATAGAAGCATGGAGTGCCCAAAACCCTAGGCTTATGTCAGGTGGGCTTGCAGAGGAGCTGGGGAGGGAGGCATTAGGAGACTGATAAGACACTGAAGCTGCACAGCTCAGACTGTAAGCAGTCTCCAAACTCAAATCAGCAGCCAGCCCTGCTTCTATCTGAGCCCTTGTCTGGAAGGGCAGAAAATACACAGAGCCTGGAAAACCCTGACTGGCACCTACCAAGTGCTCTCATGATATCCCCTAAACAACAAACATCCTGGATTGGGCATCCTAAGCCTATGGACCACCAGTAACAACCCCTGAACAAAAAGCAGGGAGAATGTGGGCAAAGATGTGTGCACTGGTGGAGGGAGGTGCATGGTGAGAAGAGGGGAAAGATGGTTTACTCACCTGGGCCTGCAGACCAGGATCTCTATTTGCCTCATCATCTTCTCTAGCCACTGGGTAGGACTTCCTTCTCTGCCAAGCCCCACATTTCTTCAAAGTGTTGCCTTGCTTATATTGCTTCTGTCCAGGATGCAGAGTAGATGGTGCCTTCAAATCCCCAGATGGAGGAACACCCGAGATCAGGGGAAATGCAGCTGCTTCCAGGGGAGGTATCTTTGTCATCTGCCTTGAAGAAGTAGTGTTTCTTCCCAGTGTGCCTCTTAAAGGCCTCTCTAGGAGTTTCTGCTCCTCAGTCACTTTCTTTATACAGCTGCCTATGAGCATGTCACCTGCGGCAGCAGCTTCTGGGTATTTCTTGATCACACTTTGTTTTATCTTACAAGAAGTTTCTTCCAACCTCCTCTGCTTTTCTTTAATTGTCTTTAGATCCTGGGGAGAAGAGGGCAGCAAATTGCCTGGCATAGAATAGAAAATATCTTCATTCTGGCCATCAGAGTTTCCAGTTGTGCTTTCTGATTCCTTGGGGCTGTCAGTTTCAGCCTGGCCTCTGTGACTCCATCTATGGGACTGCCTCCTCCTTGGACTCATGTATGATTTCCTGTGATGTTCTTCTGAAGTCTCATTATCAGAGGAGGACCATTGGGATTTCTGGCTGACCATCCTGCTAGCTTCTCTGGCTGTCTTCTTTTCCTCCCAGGCCCTGCGAAACTTGGGCCTACTGGGCTGCTCACCAGTAGTAGAGGCCAGTTTCGCTTCTATGTGGCTAGAGACCATCATGTTTCTCCCCCTGGAGGCTGGGGCTGCTTCTGCCCAATTGGCAGACAAGTTTGCAGCACAGCTTTCCTGTTTCAGGATTCTGACCTGGCCTTGGGCCACCTGGTAGGTACTGTGATTCTTGAACGTCATAGCCTCAATATTGAAGTGGAGCACTAAGTACCGAGCATCCCTTCTCCCTTTGGCTAAGGAGCTAGCTTCTCCTCTGCCACCCTGAAATTCAGCTCCTCCTGACAATATCGTCTCTAATTTGGGCCCTGAATCAATGTTGTTGCCTTGGGGCCCAAGGAGGTCTCTAACTATCTGTGGAGGCCCCAAATCACCGGCGAGGTTGGGTGCCCTGGGGTCTCCTTGGCGGGCCCTTTGGAGACTGTAGCGCTTCCCACCCATGGCTCCAAAACTCTGTTCCCGACCAAACATCTCATGGCAAGTGTCCATGTCCCTAAGTCCAGCTGGAGCCACCGTTGTTCTGGTCACCGCATGATCAGCACAGCGTTTCTCGATGCCGTCACTGCAGGAGCCACAACCAGTCTGCATCAAGTAACCGAAAATTCTGGACTTAGGACCCTACACACCTCCTCATTGGTCTGCCTTCTTCCATCAATCACGGCACGTTTTATTATGATGTTTTCCAAGGCCCTAGCCAATAGGAATGAGACTACATCCTCTGTGGCCAACCCTCTGTTCCTGTGATAGATCAGTGAACCAGTGGGTGAAGGCGGAGCTTGGTGGACGGAGGATGTGTCCTCCTTTTCCCTTTGCTCAATATTCTGTCGGTGTGCCTAGCTTAGATGAGAAAAGCACCCCGGAGCCTGTCTTCCCATGTGTAGAGTTGGACAATACCATTGTTTCACTCAGGGACTTCCGGGATTCAGTGTAACGGTGAATGTGGAGGCCCAGCCCAGAAAGGATCTTTGACATCCACCGGGTAGAAAACGTTCCTACCCATCAATACAGCACTGTTGTCATAGACCGACTGCTACACAAAGTTGTTCATTGTAATAATCAAGTAGTAATTATGAAGCCTGTACATACCACAAATTGTCTTTTTTTTTTTTGAAAATGTATGAGGACCAGTGATGACAGACTTTGGGCTTCTTCCTTTTCACTATCAGTTTGGCAGTATTGCTGTGAATCAGGCTTAAGGCCCTTTTCACAAAACCCATGGTGACTGCCTCCTGAACGTAAGATCTCTCTGCTCCTATTCAGACTATACCTGAATGATACTGTTGCTGTATGTATGGTATACACCACAGACTGAACCTTTAGTCTCTGGAGAGTAAGGGGCAGAAGTCTATGTGGGCCCATTGAAAAGGAGGAGGTGTAAATCTTACTTCTTTCTGTGTCTGTGCCCCCTTTTCCTCAAGCATTCTGTCGTAGCCATGAACTGTGAGAGTTCGTGGGGCAATCCCAGGTTTACCCTGCCTCCTGCTATTTGGCTCATGAGTTCAGAGTGAGGTTGGCTGAGTGCATGCCTGTTCTTGATGCAGAAACACAGTAGAGCCCCCAGTGAAGTTCCACCTGAACCTCGTCCCAGGGTTCCTAAAACTTCATTTCCCAACAGAATCTTCCACTTTATTGATATAAAACATGGTCTCTTCCTAAAAGTCCAACAATACAGCCAGCAATAGTAAGCAAGACTCTTAGGCTTTTAAGAGGCAAATTAGAGTATTTCCCGCACTTTGGGGTTGTGACATGCCACTCACATTAGGAGATTGATGTGGTGAATGACACTCACTGATTCTAATCTTTGCTTTCACAAACTCATTGCTGACATCTCCAAGAACTCTCTTCCCAATTTGTACTACTTCATTATTCATTTCCAAGGGAAAACAAATATTCCCGTTTTGAGGGTTTTGTCCTGGTATTTTGTGGCCCATACAGTGTAGCCATGCAAACTATCCTTGTGGAAGAACAATGGCTGGAAACAGTGGTACATACATGCCATTCCAGGCCAAAAACAAGATTCAGAAATAGGAAGATTGTAAGCCAGATCGGCTCTGGTATAAAACAAGACTGCACCACTAAAATAAGCATTAAAGTTCATTCCCAAACTAGAGATGATCCATCATTAACCTTTTGAAACTGTATTATTTCCCAGTAAATTTTCTCATTATTTTCATGCAAAAATATCCTAATGTGATTCAGCTCTGGTCACCCCTCACTAGGGGCTAACATGTTCCATAAAAAGCAGAAACTTTCCTCAGATATCTTGAGGACAACAATCCCAGAGAGCCTGTACCTTCAGTCTCATGTGATTGAGGGAGAAGTTTGTTTGTTTGTTTGTTTGTTTGTTTTTGTTTTTGCTTTGGAGGAGGAAAGTGATTCAACCAGGCTTCCAGGCTACCCTTCCTACCTAGGAAATACGTGCTCTGGTAAAAAGAGTTTGGACAATATTTGTCTCAGGCAGCCACATTTTCCTTAGAAGTGTTTTTTTTCCCAGTGGGAGTGATTAGTAACAGTGCCCAAACTCCAATACAGACCTAGACTGTCAGCACAACAGATCCTTCTCTAGCATCAACCCCATTGTCACAATCCTTGGGAAACACAGTAGTAGCTAGAATGACATCTGGGGGAGAGAGGAGATAGGAGGGGTTCCTGGGGAGAGCAGAGGCGAGTTGCTGCCAGCAGAGGGAGATGTTACCTTACTTGAGAGTCCACCAGATCATTCCTACCTCACATGGAAGCCAGAAAGGTGGATTTTGGTGTTCCCTTTCAGGTGATCAGAAGTCACCTGTGCATTCTGCAGATCTGGAAAGGCCATAAAAACAGGATTTCCCTGGGCAAGCCTTATCTGTCCCAGAGATATTCTTACTCCAAATTGGTACTAAACGCCATGTCCAGGTTAAATTGGAATATATGTACCCTCCTATCATGCAACAAGTGGAGAGAGGGCACTTCCTTTGTATGGAGAATTCAGTGTGATTCTGATCAGAAATGTGACAAATGGTGCAGGATATGAGCCACAGGTGTGAAATATTGGGTATGTAAGGCTCTGAGGCATGTGGGAGAATGAAGAGGAAAGAGGACAAAATATTAATAATTTCTTTTTCTCTAGTGCCTTCCAGACCAGTGTTTGGTGCTACAAAAAGAATTAAAGAATCTCAAAGGAAAACTAGGTATGATAGATGAGGGGAAGAAGTAGCATCAGGAGCAGCTAGAGACTTGGAGGAATAGGCAGTTTTATGAGGCAGGGCTTGGCGTAGCTACAGGCACCATTACAACTACCAACAGTCCCCTGGGAGGGGAAATCAAGCAGGCCTGTCCTGAAGTGTTGTGTGTGCTGACTGCTGGGAAATGCTCAAAGAAGAGTGTAATGTCCAAACCTCTTGTGTGCTCTGACAACTATTCCTAGAGATCAGAGTGTTGAATGGCCCTTAGAGATACCTCCTATATTTTCTCTATAAATAGTGGTCAGCGTGGCTTGTATGCCATTTGTTGTCCCTGGAATGTTTTATTTTAATGTTTAATTTTTAAGTTGTTAGGTCCCATTGTTTCTCTTATTTGCAATAATTAGTAAAAATATAGAATAATCTTATCAGATGAGCTGAAAAGCTCAAAAGCCATGTACAAATGACCACATAAGATGATGCTAAGTGAAATGAACCCCAAGATATGGACACGAGGTCTGTTTTTATTGTTATTGTTTTAAACATACCATGTGATTTTTTTTTTTTTTTTGTCGGTCGTGGGGCTTGAACTCTGGGTCTGGGCGCCGTCCCTCAGCTCTTCAGCTCAAGGCGAGCACTCTACCACTTGAGCTACAGCGCCACTTCCGGTTTTCTGGTGGTTTTATTGGAGATAGGAGTCTCACGGTCTTTCCTGCCCGGGCTGGCTTTGAACCGCGATCCTCAGATCTCAGCCTCCTGAGTAGCTAGGATTACAGGCGTGAGCCACCAGCGCCCGGCTTGATTTTATTTTTTGTTGTTGTTTCCTTTGTATGTTCTTCTCCCTATGGCATATCCCCTGTTGTCACTGTACTTGATTTTGGTACTTGCATCTTGTATAGACATATATCTAATCTGTGGAGGAGAAGGGGAATAACAAAATGCTGAAACAAGGACACAGAATGACCCATTGCAACAATGATACCCACAGGACAGTATATTGGAAACAAACTTTACAACTTTGGGTGGGGGATAGGTGGGGTGGTGGGGGGAAGAATGTGGGAGGTGGGGTAGGGAAGGGATAGTGGGACAACAACAAGGAAGGGAAGGGGTAACAATGATCGACAAGTAATGTACTCATTGCTTTACTCATGTAACTATAACCCATCTGTACAACATCTTAACAATAAATTAAAATAAATAAAAGTGATATACAGAGAGGTTACAGTTACATAAGTCAGGTAATGAGGACATATCTTTTTTTTACAATAGAATGTTTTCTTTTTATTTTTTCAAGTTTTTTGTTTTTATAAAGGTGATATACAGAGGGGTTACAGTTACGTAAATCAGATAATGAATACATTTCTTCTTGGATGTTACTGCTTCCCTTGCGTTCTCTCTCCTTCTCTCTGCCTCTCTCTCTCTCTCTCTCTCTCTCTCTCTCTCTCTCTCTCTCTCTCTCTCTCTGTTTTTAAGAAGTATGGATGATTGGCCCATGACCCACATTTACGAATTCATGGTTTAGGTTGTTTTGGTGAAGAGATATTTCCAAATTGAGTTTTGCTGCTGGTCAGGAGATCATCCTGGAGCTCTTTGACAGGGACTTAAGGGGAGGAGATAAGGGAAGCAGGATGGGTTTCTGCATCTTACTGGTCTGGAGCACAGGATTAAGCTTCTTTCATAATCCTCAGTCCCACACGGAACAGTCCCCTGAACATAAGTGTTCTGCTGACCACACTCCCCTTGGTTTTGACTGCTCAAGAGTGTCTTGGAATAATCCTTGCCACTTGAAACACTGAGGCAATCAGAACACTAACAGCCCAAAGGAATCAGAAGACAGCCTGATGGTCAAATGACTAGACCTATGAGAATTTCAATCCTGTATCCAACACTCTACTGCCCTCTTCCCCCAAGGATGAAAGGCAACCATGGAAAAGCAGGCCACTGGAGAGATGGAAGCCCCTTTCTTTAAGGGAAAACAAAGTGTTGTTTTTGCCTAGGGATGAAATGGTTCTTCCACACAGAGGCTGTTTCTGCTGCAGGTGACCTGCTCAGCACCAATTCTAGAAAGGAGGAGAAATCCACAGAGGGTGCCTCAAGAGTTACCCTGGAAAGAATCATTCTTATGAGGGCAGAGGACAATGCACCTGACCTGAACACAACTTACTTATCCACAACCTCACTGTTCCTCTGTTTGAGAGTTCTAAAACATCCTCCTTGCAAGATTCTGGGCCCCACCACTTCAGTGAAGGCAGCATTTTGACGTGAGCTGTGGAATGAAGCAGTAGACAGACTTCATCTCTGGCCGCAGTAGACAGACTTCATCTCTGGCCAGAGAAGTAAGCCATTTTCCTCCTCTTTTTTCCCTGACACTTTCCTCATGACATCTGTCCTCATGGCCCCTCTGACTCTTGGTCAGGACTTGTCACT